AATATTTCCTGATCAATTGCAATGTGTTCCAAAATAAAAAATATTTTATTCCAGTCCAAATCAGCTCAACTTTAATAAAGAGTTATTGTATAATGTACAAAATGTTGATACATTTTGATGAATATTTACAGCTACGGCTTCAATACCGTAGACGGTTTTGAGCCGATCGTCAACAAAACATCACCCGTCTCCAGGGCAAGTGACTGGAAAAAGACACCGGTGTTCGGTCAAACCGGTGGAAACAAAATCGTCACTCCCAGAAAAACTATGCAAAATAACGATCCAAACTCAAACCATTCGAGCCACAATATTAACATAAAAATGCTTTCGTTGCATTTGACAATGATAAACTTACCGAAAAGCCTGTTATTCTCGGTCGCTAACGTCGGTATAATCCGCCATTTTATACCCAAAATAATTAAAGCCCGTACACCACATCAGATTTTAATCAGATTGCGGGCATTTTAGATTCCCATGGTTATATGCTGTGAAAATAACTGAATATGCAACATCAATTTGATTGGACGAAACCTCTTCCATTTACAACAGCTGTGATACAAATTAGTTAAATCATGGTCATGTTATAGTTACGGCACGTAAACCACTTGTGCATCAATTTATGGCTTATATGTTATAACCCCATCTGTGTTTATAAATACCGTAGTACCTGTATGTAACTGGCATTGCCTGGTATAAACAACTGAGCAATTAAACTATGATTAGTCCCCTGTTAAAAAATGATGGCTATGTCACTGAATAACATTTCTTTTGCTGTGAATGAACTTTCTTGCTTTCCATAATTGGTGGAACAAGTAACACATTAACACTTTTCTGAGACAAGAAGTGCACCATTTTCAAACTCTTAAGTTATTTCAATTCTTCCAATTCAATTCTCGCTATATATTTTAGAAACTTATATACTGTCACATTACTCATTAAGATTGATACGCATTATTTGAGGAACATGAATATTAATTAATTGTTTTTATGTAGCTCTGATGACTTTATTGTTCTTGTCCATCAATGGTCATGACTGTTTCCACTTAAATTTTTTACCAGTATTTTCCACACAAAATGTTTAGATATATATTGCATTGTTTCAGGACTTGTGTACTGTAAAATACTTAATTTTCGCTTGGAATTAATTTTTGCTATTTTTGCTGAAGGAATGACCTTTTTTCTATATCTTACATTCAACTTGTCAACAATCAGCGAAAATAAATTCCATACAAAACACCCAAAAAGTCTTTTCAACGAAAATTAATTCCAGCTAAAATAAAGTATTTTTCAGTACTCACTTTTGTCATGAAAAAAAAAATATTGCATCAGTAGTTTGTATCCATACATTCATTTGTTATCTGGATTCTCAATAGACAAGGTTGTAATAGTTGCATTATGTTTTATTTTAAGCCAAAGTGACAAACTTTGTTGACCAGAATGTGTGTGTAACTGGGGCCCACTTACTTATTCAAAGTAATGACATCATCATATTTATAAATTTAAAAGTATGCTCTAATGATCCCAATCACAACACCTGAGTAAATACCAATGGTGTAAAATTCTTCAATGGAATGTCAGGCCTTGAATATGGTTGGAGAGAAAATAATAGCTTTCCTTTTTTTCTGAGCAGGTTTTTTTTAGCTCTCCTTGGTAACATTTTACATGCTTGAATCCTGGAAAAGGAAAGCAAATTGTCTAGTCAGTCCTAGCTCGAAACAAGCACATTATATTTGAGAATTCATTTCTGCAGAAGCTTATTTTTGAAGCTTTTTGTCTAAGTCTGATGGGATCTTTCTGGTTCATGTCAATGGGCCATGATTGAAGGAAGCCACTTACAGGTATATTGTATTCAAAAAGATTCCGAATTCTGTTTTATAGGGAGGGGGTCTAAATATACAGCCCTTGTTTTTTTTGAATACAATTGTGTTATCATAAGAAAAAGTTATGTTGATGTACATGTGAGTTACACCTAGTAACTACAAAGATCACATAATCCCGTGTTAACACACCAGAAATTTTCAGGTGTAATTAAGAGGTGTAAAATATGGCATTCACTGGATAATGCATACAATGGCGTAAAAACTTGTTGGATCCTGAGCATGGAGCTAATGTTGTTTTAGAGTCTATGCTGGAACAAACCTGCATAATTTGAGATTAACAATTAATGTATACAGGTCATTATAACAATGTTAATGGCCTTAAAGGGGAACCTTCAAAACCTAGGGATTGCACCAAAGAATCATGGGACACTAGTGTTTACAATGTTAATCTATCTTTTTTTATCCATTGTAATTTTAATCCAGAGAGTAAATTTATTGTGAGATTGCTGGTAGGCCTAATTGGAGGTGCCCCTTTAAAATTTGACACTATTTGCGAGCATGCCTACTTTGAAATAAATTCAGTTGATTGTGGCAGCCAAACCCTCCTTTAAAAGGGGTTTTAAATTCATAGTTTGTTTACCCCCTTCACTTCAACGTAACATGTTCACATTGTTCTCTTACATCGCTGGCCCTACATTTAAGTCGCATGGGTGTAAAGAAACACAAAAAAATTATGTGAACCTGAGAACTGTGAACTGCAAACATGTTTCGAATCTAGCTCCAGTTGCAAGCCTTGACTTAAAATAGCCTTAAGCAGCACTCCTCTGACAAAATTTGTCAACCAATTAGCTCTTAAGAGTGTTTAGATTGGTTGCTGATTATACAACACTTTTTGTCACATGTTTAAGCTTAACCTTTTCACCACCAGACTTTCTTGCCCAAATTTTTCTGCACTATTTTTCATTATTTCTGGAAATGCACCTTAATTTTGGAGCCAACTGACAAAATTTGAGTCAATTTCCAGTTTCTACTAAAAAAAATTTGGCTATTTTTGTCCCAATCTTCTGAAGGGGAAAGTGCAGACAATGAACAAGACTATTTTGTGATGAAAAACGGGAACTGGTCGGGATATGCACCGGAAGTTGTTAATTTATGAAAAAGCAACTGAAGCGGCTATCAGGTTGAAATCAGATTGTGGTTGTAGCAGTACGCAGTAATTTGATCAGCTAATAGAGTAGTTAAAGTTAAAGTTAAAATCAATTAAGTAATTCGGTTTTCAATTACAAATGTAATGAATCTGACTTTTTCCACATCAATGAATGGTTAGTATTTAACCTACTTACCTTTTTAAGTTATGTCAAGGCTTGCAACCGGATATGGTGGTATATCCTGTTTAAAAGAAACTAATACTGTCTGGTATAGTACTGGCTAATATACACCCATTTCTGTTAGAAGCATGTCTTATACATATGATTAATGTGGTAGACAACTTGCAGGATATTCAGACAGTTGTTTAGTGTTGACGCATTGATGGGAGTTTAACTGCTGCTGAAAGGTACATTATGGACCCAGGCATGTTTTTTTTTCTCAGTGAACAGTCAGATCATTTTGTTGTTTTACCAGACATAGACTTTAGCATTCCTTGCTTTTAACTGTGATTATTTTTATGACAACTTCCTAAGAAGGGGACTAAACCAGATTACTGTTAAGATAAGTATGTCTATTTAAATACTAATTACGGTACTGATGAAACTGAAAAACTGATGGAAAATGTGGCATTTGTGCATAGACCAAAATGAAAGTTTTATGTGAAGTTTATTAAATGCTAAC